AACTCAAGTTTAAAAAAAAAAAGTATATGAGATTATAGTAAGACAACATTTCACAACCACCAGAATGGATGAAATTTAAAAGGAGTCCAATAGTAAGTGTTGGTGAGGATGTGAAACAACTGGAACTCTCACGCATTACTAATGGGGTTCAAAATGGTAAAAGCACTTTGGAGAGGTGCTTAAGAGTTTCTTGAAATGTTAACCACACACCTATCCACTGTCTCAGCAGTTCCAGTTGAGGTGTGCGCCCAAGTGGAAATGTTCACAGATAGCAGTTTTACTCATAAAGGTTCCCAACTAGACGCCAATGAACAGATATCCATCCACAGGAGAATGGATAGACATACTGTAATATATTGATACTGAACAATTAAAAAAAGAACAAACCACATCTATGTGCAACAACATGGATGAATCTCAAAAAACACAGAAGAAGAAACCACCTATGAAAAAGATGTATTATTCTATTATGTGAAGCTCAAAATGCAAAACTACTCTCTGGTAGGAGATAATCAGAACTGTGGTTGCCTCAGAGGGAAGTATTGACTGGAACAAGGTGTGGGGGATCTTTCCAGGATGATGAAAGGAATTTCTATATCTTGATTTTGGGGGATAGGCCCATGGTTGTATACATGTGTCAAAATATACACTTAAGATATGTTAATTTTACTGTATGTAAATTATATCTACTTCAATAGAAATGTTATTAGCATAAAAATGTCAGAGATCAAGGCAAAAAAAAAGTTAATCTGTAAAAATAGAAATCTGTATCAAGATATTGAGAAGATTTTTCTCTGAGGGGGAAAAAAACCCCAAAAACATCTGTAGAAAGTTGCCAAAAATATTTCTATTGACCCTAGAGCAATGTCCAAAATAAGACTACTAAGTAATGTGCTTGATGCTGGTAGAGATAAGGGGGTGAAAGTCACTCTCCTTCTGAAAAGCTGCTGGGAATGAAAAAGTTGACCTTCAATGTGTCCCTGCAGCCTGGGTTCACCCACAGCCACAAGGGCAGCTGCTTGAATGGACGGAAGCCTTCCAAATTCAGGATGAGCTTGGGAAGCCTGTTCACCAACCTGGGACTTACTCTCTTCTTCTCTAAACTATTCTGAAATCTTCAGCAGACATAGGATATAAATAGCATTCTTTCATCCGAAAGGCCGCAGGAGAACATTTTGTTACTGATTTCACAGTTTATTTGTAAGATGATAAAATTTTCCCCAGGTCCTTCGTTTGTGTTTCTAAAGAGGAGCTTGAGGATATCTGGAAAGAGGAGAGGGGAGAACTCAGGAACTGGCATTTCTTCAGGGACAGAGAAGCTTTTTTTTCTTCTGTATTTGACTTTTCTGTTTAGAAAGTTTTTTACTCTGTCCTGCTGTGAAGGACCTTGTCTCTTCTAAACTGTAAGTCCAAGTCATTCTGTTATAGTGGAATGAGTGGCCAGAGGGGAAATAAAGGCAGGGCCCCCACCATTGCAATCTAACAAAGAATTTGATACGGGAGCCTAAAGCAAGAGCTCACATGTTGAGCACTAATCCTGAGCCTGGTCGGCTCCCAGGCATCCCAGGCATCCCAGACAACAAGTAAACTATGATAGTGCAGGAGCAGGTGCTGGGAAGCCCTTGAAAGTCTGCATGTATCATCTCCATTAGCTGGGAAAAGGAAAACCTTGAGACTGTGTATTTATCCCAAGGTCTAGAAGGCAGCAGGGGAGGGGGACTGCAGTGCCCAAGGGAAAAACCCATAAAACGACTCTGGTTAACTGCCCGCTTCCCATCATGTACAAAATGAACAAATAGAGTCTAGAGCAAGATAAGGATTGGGGCTAACAGACCCCCCACCTAGACCTATGTTTAGTTAATCATGTCTCCATGGAAGGCTGGCAGCACCTTTACCCACCAATCAAAATGTAACTTTTTCACCTGCAACCCACCAACTATATAAGCCCTCAAAACAAAGGACTTATTCTCTTGGCCTCTTCTCTTGGCTCATGGCTCTCTTGTCACACAGAGGGGTAGGGAGAGAGCCCTGGACACGGCCTCTGGCTGGGGGGCCTCTGGCCGCCAGGCCTCTGGCCACCCCTTTTTGGCCACCCAGCCTCTGGCTACTTGGGTGCTGGTTACCCAGGTCTCTGGCCACACTTGCTTTTGCCCTCCTGTTTACTAATAAACTTTGCCTCCATACTAATAGGCTCAATGACCTGTAATTCTTTACTGTGTTGGCAAGAAGAATCATGGTTTCTCTGGTAACAATTCCATACACACACAAAAAGATCTCCAGAATAGTGGAACATTTACAATATGTTCATGTCTCTAGGGAACTATTTCTTTAACATTTTTTATTACTTCAGTCAACTTTTTTTTCTTTAGGGTTTTATTCTTTTTAAAAAAAAACTTTTTATTTTGTGGCTTAACACAGTTGACTTATTTTTTTTACATTTTCTATTTCTTTTTTACTGCTGACATATAAAAATGCATTATAATTTCTACTTTAATCTTATATCTAGCCAACATTGCAAATTCTTATTTTTTTCCCCCTTTATTCCCCTCTTACCTGCATCACCCCACCCCCCAGCATCCCCCCACAACTTAGTTCATGTCTATGGGTTGTACATACAAGTTCTTTGGCTTCTCCATTTCCTATGTTATTCTTAACCTCCCCCTGCCCATTTTGTACCTACCGTTTATGCTGCTTATTCCCTGTACCTTTCCCCCATTCTTCCCCACTCCTCTCCCCTCTGTTTTACTCTTCATAGTTTTTTATCTTCTTCTTTTTCTTAGATAAGTCCCTTTAACATTTCATATAATAAGGGCTTGATAATGATGAACTCCTTTAAGTTGACCTTATCTGGAAAGCACTTTATCTGCTCTTCCATTTTAAATGATAGCTTTCTTAGCTATCAAATGATAGCTAAATGATAGAGTAATTTTGGGTATAGATCCTTGCATTTCATGATTTTGAATACTTCTTTCCAGCTCTTCTTGCCTGTGAAGTTTCTTCTTGAGAAGAGAAATGGGAACTCCTTTGTAGGTAACTGTCTCCTTTTCTCTCCTTATCTTTACTTTTGGGTAATGTAATTATTATGTGCCTTGGTGTGTGCTTCCTTGGGTCCAACTTCTTTGGGACTCTCTGAGCTTCCTGGATCTCCTGGAACTCCTGGAACTCCTGGAAATCTCTTTCCTTGACCAGATTGGGAAAGTTCTCCTTCATTATTTTTTCCAATTTAAGTTTTCAATGTCTTGCTCTTCCTCTTCTCCTTCTGGCACCCCTATGACTTGGATGTTGGATCATTTAAAGTTGTCCCAGAGGTTCCTAAGCCTCTCCTCATTTTTCTGAATTCTTACTTTTTCATTCTGTTCTGGTTTAATGTTTATCTCTTCCATCTGATCCCAATCATTGATTTTGAGTCCTGATTTCCTTCCCTTTACTCTTGGTTCCCTATATATTTTTCTTTATTTCACTTTGCATAGCCTTTGCTTTTTTGTCCATTTTTGCAACCATACTCAACAAATTCAGTGAGCATCCAGATTACCAGTGTTTTGAACTGTGCATCTGATAAGTTGGCTATCTTTTCATTGCTTAGTTCTATTATTGGAGCTTTGATCTTATCTTTCATTTGGGCCATATTTTTTGTCTCAGTAGACCTCTTACATTGGCAGGGGAAGAGTCTTAGGTATTCGCCAGGGTGGGGCAGCCCGGGTCCCTGCGTTGTGACACTGTGTGTGGGTGAGGGTCTGAGAGGGAACAATGCTGCTTGCTCAGCTCTAAGCCAGCTTTCAGTCACTTCCCCCATTACCCACAAGCAAATCGGACCCTTCTAGTGCTGATTCCTGGGTGGGTGGGTTTGTGTCCATCTTGGACCCTATGGGCCTCTCTAATAGATTCTCCTGTGAGGCTGGGAGTTTCTCCTGCTGCTGCAACTCCCACAGGTTTTTACCTTCAGATGTTTTGAGGTTTTCTTTTTCTACACTGGAATCCTGGATTATATTGTCTGTCTCACTCCCCAGTTGTTCCTCTGGTTTATCTGCATGCAATTGTGGGACCACCAGGTCCTCCAGCTGCCACCTTGCCATGTGGCCTCTCTGCTCGGCTGCCTGTCTCTGCCCCTCCTACTGGTCTGGATGAATGTTTCTTCTTTAGCTCCTTGGTTGTCAGACTTCCATATAGTTCAATTTTCTGGCAGTTCTGGTTATTTTTTGTTTTTAAACTTGTTTTCCTTTTGGTTGTGTGAGGAGGCAAAGTGTATCTACCTACGCCTCCATCTTGGTCACAGGTCCTACTTTAGTCAAAATTATTTAGAGTAGTTATCTGGCCAAGTACACCAAATTTGGGGGGATTATGAGTCCCTTAAATATATATTTTTCCCCTCAATTAGATTTTTAAATAAATGGTAAGTGTCCAGAAATATGATATTGGAAGCTGTTTTCTTTATTTCAGTCACTACTGTACAACTGAATTAAACTTTATTTGTTAGTGTTAGTTAAAAATATCTTAGGAAGTGAAAACTTTAGAGATGCCTAGTTTAGTTCCTTTCTCATCTTTGCCTAGTAAATTATTAATCCTCTCTTTAAATACCTCAATAAAAGCCATCATTTAAAATGGATTTAAAGTGTATTGCTAATAGGAAAACTCTCTAGTCGCCCTGTGCTTTGGCTAAGAGAAATCCAAAAAAGGGAAGAACTGGCTCCTTTCTTCTCTCACCTGCCTCTTCTGTTCCCCACAGAGTGGCCCTACAGGCAGGTGAGTGCAGGGAGAGAGAAACCTGAGATGAAGGCTCAGTGAGGTCCAGAAAGTAATGCTGGCCCAAGTGTCTGTATCTTAGTGCCAGTGGTAGCATGGCATGTATAGGACTGTTTCATAGGGTGCACCCTCTACATCAGCCCATGTGAACTTTACAACAGCACAGGGAGGGGTGAGTTGTAAGGGAAGATATGACTGTATGCTCTCTAAGTGAGAAGTCCAAAGAGGTCATATGACCATGCATTTCTTGTGTTGAGCAGGTGACAGATCTGGGACTAGACACCATGACTTCTGACTCAACCCAGAGCTCCTTCCAATGTGTGATGCTGAGAATGAGAATCACAGAGAATGAAACAACATCTTAGTCCATAAGAACATCAGCTACACCAGCAAAGTGGTAGCCTCAGGTGCTTCCCTTCCAATCGCCATTTCTTGTTGAACAGTTCTAAGCCCAAACCAAATATAGTCACTTCCTTGCTGTGTTCAAGTCTTTACCTGAGGTGTGAAATAAATTCTGCCTATTCCAGTGTGTTCTCAAGGCAGCAGCATGATTACATCTTTAGGAAATCCTAATGGTAATTCTTCTACTTTCCCATCACAGCATTGCCTGCACCTCTATTATAGATTTGATGGACAGATGTGACTTAGTAAATACTGCCATCTGGCCACTCTACTGAGATCCTATGGGCCCCAATCACTTTTTCTGTCATTATTATCTACTCTAAAACAACATAAAAAAGATGAAAGTCCAAGTCACACAGCTTTTCTCTTGCTACTGTGTGGTTCATTCACTGAAAGAGCATTGGGTTTTACAGAAAGTTGTTTATCATGAATGGTACACAGTGGAGCAATAAATTCCTTTTGAATGAGGAGCATCAGAGAAGAGATAAAGTATCTAGAACTAAGCACCTTGGCAATTTAAATTAAATCTGTATTTGGCCAACTAAGAAAATTTAAAGGTGGCTGGTAATTCAACGGCTTCATCTCAAATTAATAAATTCTTAATTTTGTCCAAAATATTTACATAAAGAAAAGATAGTTTTGTCTGGCACATTGTTTGTCAGTGTCTTCCTGTTTGTTTTAAAATAAAAAACTTGTGTACGTTTCTTATAACATTCTGCAGGCTTGTGGATTAATTTGTTCACTTATTACATGTCCTCAATTGCTAGTTTTGAGTTGCAGTTGATTATATAAGTACTTTAAATACTTTGGCTCAAGAAAATCAAACATTAACTAAACCTAAGGAGGTTAACTAAATTTGGGTGGACTCTGATTTCAACTCTAAAAGAAATATAATTTCCTGTGTAGACATTTTGTCCAGGTTATTCTGCATGAGTATGTCACTTCAAATAATGGAGCTTCAAGTTTTGTTTGCCTTTCACCCACTGCCTAAGTTGTCAGGGCAGAGTGTTTGATGCAGCTCCAAGAACATCTGACCATGGACTGAAAACATTGGATGAGGTTTGGGATTCTCAAGAGTGAGTATTTAAAAATTCACATGTCATTATTTTATATAGTATCCATTAGAATTCCCAAATATTACACATTTCCAAGTAGCACCAGAAAAATCCATTAATAAAATAAAAAATATTTCCAGGCAATTTAACAAGAAGTGGAAGAAATGTTGACAATGGTTACTTGTGACATTACTGTAGTACTTTACTTCCCTCCAACCTCTATGAGATACAGGCAAAATTATTTTATTTTGCATGATGTAAAGTCAGAGCAACTGGTTTATTGTGGTTGTTGAGGTACTTGATTCTTTACAGTGTTATCATTGGGCTCATTTTTCTTTTTTTTTAATGAAAATATAGGAAATAAATGTTTTAATCAGAGGTGGTAGTTACAGTATTCAGACCATTTGGTGTTGGTTTCATGCTTAGATCTAAAGAGTAGAACTGTGACACATCTTTGCTTTAAATGCCAAGTCCTCAGAGAATGCCCTTGCTAAATTAAGAGCAGAGTGAGGCTTCCCACCCCGGGACAAAGGGATCTACATCCTCAAATAATTAGAATAGTATTTGTAATACTGAAATGTGAGATATGGGTGGGGTGAAGTGCTTGAGAGAAAGATTTAAACTGTGGTCTGTTTTTCTCTGAAAAGGGGTTTCTGGTGGGAAGCACAAATATAATTTTTTCTTTCATCTCATTTGCAGTGGGTACCATCACCATCAATATCATCTTCATTTCCCTGCATCCTCATGACTGGTCCTAAGGGCCTTTCCAGGCTCATCTCTCACTCTCTGCCATAAATGCTCTGCTCCAGGCACCCTGCAGTACTTCATGTTGCTCTACGAGATCTCTCGTGGCTTGGCATCTTTGCTCAAGCTGTTCCTACCACCTGGAATGCTCTTTCTTTTTATTCCACCTCTTGAAATGTCTGGTTTGATAAATTCTGCTCAGCCCCTTGTCAAATGCCAGTAAATGGATTTCCTCTCTGTGCTTCTGCAGTCCTTTCACATTAAAGCTATCAGAATGCCTGTTACAATGTTTTATTATTATAATTTTTTGAAATTCTCGTTAGGTTGAGCTCCTCAAAGTCATGTTCTGTGTTATACACTACCGACTCCACTATTCCAATGACTGAGCCAGTGGGTACTTGATTGATAAGTAATTCATGCTGAACTAAAAATGTGGAAAGCAGACCCAAATGATCACCTTCAGTGAACTTCTGGCCAAGATGGAAGCATAGGTACATACATTTTGCTTCCTCACACAACCAAAAGAAGGACAACGACCAATTTAAAAACAAAAAACAACCAGAAAAATCAAACTGTATGGAAGTCCAACAACCAAGCAATTAAAGAAGAAATATTCATCCAGACTGGTAGGAGGGGCAGAGATGGGCAGCAGGGGCAGAGAGGACATGTGACAAGGTGGCAGCTGGTGGGCCAGTCCCTCCCACATTTGTTAGGATAAGCTAGCGAGGAACTACTGAGGAGCGAGGCAGACTGCAACCCAGGGTGCTAGTGAAGGGAATAAAGCCTCAAAACCTTTGGCTCTAAAAATCTGTGGGGGTTGTGGTGGCAGGAGAAACTCCTAGTCTCACAGGAGAGTCCATTGAAGAGACCCATGGGGTCCTAGAAAGTACACAAACCCACTGACAAGGGAATCAGCACCAGAAGGGCCCGATTTGCTTGTGGGTAGCAAGAAAAGTGAAAGTGGGACAAGAGCTGAGCAAGCAGAGTTGTTTCCTCTCTGACCCCTCCCCCACATACAGTGCCACAACTCAGTGAAGTAGGTTGCCCCACTCTGGTGAATACCTTATAGTATAACAGATGCACTGAGACAAAGAACTATGGCCCAAATGAAAGAACAGATGAAAATTCCAGAAAAAGAACTAAGTGACAAGGAGATAGCCAGCCTATTAGATGCAGAGTTCAAAACACTGGTGATCAGGATGCTTAGAGAAATGATTAGTAAGGGCTGCAAAATAAGGGAAGAAATGAAGGCTATACAAAGTGAAATGAAGAAAAATATACAGGGAACCAACAGGGAAGGGAAGGAAACCAAGATTCAACTCAACAATTTGGAATAGAAGGAAGAGATAAACATTCAACTAGAAAGGAATAAAAAACGTGAATTCGAAAAAAATGAGAGGCTGAGGAACATCTGGGACAACTTTAAATTTTCCAACATCTGAATCATAGGGGTGCTAGAAGGGGGAGAGGAAGAGCAAGAAATTGAAAACATATTTGAAAAAATAATAAAGGAAAACTTCCCCGATCTGGTGAAGGAACTAGACATGCAAATACAGGAAGCTCAGAGAGTCCCAAAGAAGTTGGGCCCAAGGAGGAACACACCAAGGCACATCATAATTGAATTACCCAAGACTTAAGATAGGAGAGAATCTTAAGAGCAGCAAGAGAAAAGGAGACAGTTACCTACAAAGGAGTTCCCATAAGACTATCAGCTGATTTCTCAAAAGAAACCTTACAGGCAAGAAGGGGCTGGAAAGAAGTATTCAAAGTCAGGAAAGGCAAGGACCTATATCCAAGGTTACTCTACTAGCAAAGCTATCATTTAGAATGGAAGGGCAGATAAAGTGCTTCCCAAATAAGGTAAAGTTAGAGTTCATCATCACCAAACTCTTATTATATGAAATGTTAAAAGAATTTATCTAAGAAAAAGAAGATCAAAACTATGAGCAGGAAAATGAAAACAAACAACTATCAACAACTGAACCTAAAAAATAAAATAACAAAAACAAAATCAAACTAAGCAAACAACATGAACAAGAACATTACAGAAGTGGAGATCACATGGAGGGTTATCTGCAGGGAAGGGGAGGAGGGAGAATGGAGGAAAAGGTACAGGGAATAAGAAGCATAATTGGTAGTCACAAAATAGACAGGGGGTGGTTAAGAATATTATAGAAATGGAGAAGCCAAATAACTTATATGTACGACCCATGGACATGAACTGAGGGGGGGAATGCCTGAGGGAGGTGGGTGCAGGGTAGAGGGAGACAAGGTGGAGAAAAAAATGGGACAACTGTTATAGCATAATCAGTAAAATATACTTAAAAATATATTTTCCTGACTTGGAAAGTACATCCATGTATGCAGTTACTCTCAGATAATTTTAAAAACAAGAAAATTAAGCTAATATATTCACATTTATGTTTACATTTTTTTCCTAACTAATAACCTGTGATAATTCAACCAGGCCATGTTAACTAGCAACATTGGGAACTTGCCGATAAAATTGAAACTAGTCCTAGTACACAGAGGGAAAGGGGAGACTAAAGGAAAGGATTACAGATTGGTGGGTGGCAGGTTTAATAAGCAAGGGAATTTACATGTGAGATTTTTCCTGGACAACCACAAGATTGAACAGATCTCCTCACATGCCTGCCAAATCTTAAAAGTTTATATAAAAGGCCTTGATTGGGTTTAGTCACATATACCATGAGAGGGTCTCAACACCATCTTATTGTCTCAAAGCTATGACCTTGGGACAGCTGCCTGTCTGGGACTGGTTGGCTGAGCATACATTCAAGGACAGGCGAGGAGGTGATGCTAAGATAGGAAAACAACCTGCCTGTCCATCCATGTGAATTGATAAAGAAACTGATATATATTATAATAATTGAGTATTTGTCAGCCATAAGAAAGTGAATTCTGCCATTTGTGACAACATAAATGGACCTTGAAGGCATTATGCTATGTGGAATAAGACAAAAAAAAAGACAAATACCACATGATGTCTCTTAGGTGGATTCTAAAAACAAAACTGAGCTCATGGATTTCAAGAATGGGATTAGTGGTTGCCACAGGCAGGGGGTGGGGAGTGAGATAAATGAGGGTCAAAAGGTGAAAAATAAATTTAAAAAAGCTTGAAAGAGAAAACTACTGATTTCTTTTTTTATGGTACCTCCTGTTCCACTTTTAGCCTAAATTCCAACATTAGCCTGGGGCAAAGATTTTAATGTATCTTACCCTGCAAGTAGAAAGATAAACAGAATCTAAAATATCTTCAGTTATTTTTACACAGAAAGTGCCTTTTTAAACAAAATTTTATTATTATTTTTTGTTTCCAGAGAGACTGGAATATATAAAAGTTTCTTTGTAGAAGAATCAAGAGAAGTTCAGAGGATGGGAAGAAAAAGAGAATGACATATGGGTAGTCAGCTATCCCAAGATTCTGCACACGACCTGCTAAGTTTGAACTTTAAAATTCTTCATAAAAACCTAATGTTAGATTCCTTAAAATCTGTCATTGTACTTGATGGTAATATCTGCAGGTACAGTAGTAGTAGCCAGCTAGCTGTGTAGGCTCTGGAAACAAGTTACAGAGGCAGAAGCAGGGCCTTTGGAGCTTAGGAGAGAGAAAGGCAAAGGTAACGCACCTGGGAGGAAGAACGAGTGTGAGGGAAAAGCACTGGCTGCTCCCTGAGAGGGAGAGCTTGCTCTGTGCCCTTTGTCTTGTGGGTTTTAAAGGCTGGGAATTTAGGGA